AGCTGAACAAGCTTTGCCCAAAACAGGGTTGGAAACATACACAGAAATCGAGTTGCTGCAAAGAGAAGAGTTGCATTTCCCTTAAAAGTTTTAAGTGATGCATTTTTTCGTGCGTACAGGAGGAAATATTTTTAAATAGCATGGTTCTGTTAACGTAAAAGTCGGACATAATTTTGGAAAAGGGTAAAAAAATCAAACTTTTCAAAAAGTCGGGTCAAAGGGTTGCCCACGAACGTATACGCAGGGTACTCTAGAAGTGGGTAGAAACATATCAAATTTGCTGTTGATAGAGAGAGAGAGATATATAAGCAACGTCAACGTTACGGCCATGCGGTGGCAGGGTTGCGTGATTTTAAATCCTTATTGATTTAAAATCCGCTTTTATTTAAGAAATATATTTGATTTGTTATTTGGTTTGTTGACCAAATAAAAAATAAAATTTATTTGTGATTTGATCTGTCAACCAAATAAGAAATTCACATTTTTGATTTGATTTGTAGAGCAAATCAATTTGATTTATAATTTTTCAACTAAGTAATACTTTTGTCAAGTATCTTCCAACTTCCAGTTCTACGGAAATCTTCGGAATTTTTGGGAATAATTCGGGATTTTCGAGACTTCTTCGAGATTTCGGAATCTTCGGAACTACTTCGGAATTTTTGGACTATTTCGGAAGTTTCGAGACTACTTTGGGATTTTCGTGATCCTTGGGACTAATTCGGAATTATCGAGACTTCCTCGGGGTTTTCGGAATCTTCGGGTCTACTTCGGCATTTTTGGACTATTTAGGGATTTTTGGACTATTTCGGGATTTGTGGACTATTTCGGGATTTTTGGACTACTTCGGGATTTTTGGACTACTTCGGGATTTTCAAGACTACTTTGGGATTTTCAGGACCTTCGGGACTAATTCGGAATTTTCAAGACTTACTCGGAATTATTTTCGGTGTATCATATTATGAATGTGCACGCTCTCTTCTTTGTCATAAATGTTCGCACATGTAAGTGTACGTATATGTCGGGTAAAGAAATGCCTAACGCTTTGCTTCCACTTATGTACGTCCACTTATATTTTTCAGTCTTACAATAACCCACAAATTAAGACAGTTAAAAATAAAAGTCCCTGCCAAAGTGTCTTTGCCTAAGGGAAATTGTAGCAGTTGATAAATAACCCACAACGGAAAACACAAAAAGATCGCACAGAGTGATATGCCACGGTGAGAAACACTCTTTGCTTGAGAGATGAGTGTTTGTGTTAGTGGTAAACACCTTACAAGACACTTGATGACGGTTATTTGCGATCTCTGTTTATAACACAAACTATAAACAGAACCGAATCGCTGAGAGAATTTCAGCGGACATAGCGATGCCGTCGCGTGCTATTCGCTGCCAGTGAAACAGAACTGAAACGAAATTCGTGTCAGCTGATTGATAAATTAATAACTTAAAACAAACAAAAGCGAAAACATGAATCCCCAAATTGTGCCATTATGTTTCTTCGAGATAATTATCTGCTAGAAAAGTAAAGAAACAAAGCTACCTTCTCACTGACAACTGATTTTGTGACCGGCGCACAGTGGTTTGAATGGATAATCTAGCGGGACGAAACACTAAAAATTAAAGTCTTCAAATTGGCACTAGGACCGAATATAATTTCTTAGGAATGTTTAGTAAGAAGGCCTCTCCACTCTACGATTTAAGTCAATGCCCATTTTTTGCATTTTGCAACTGTAAACGCTATGGTCCTGAAAGCAGCAGAAATTCCTTAAAATTTTAGAGTCCTCTGGAGACGTAACGAGCACCCTAGGTTTTGTTTTAATCAACATTTTTTTTCTAAATAGTATTGAAATTTTTGACGTTCACATGTGTCATCTTTAAAATTATTAATTCTTCATTTAGAATAGTGGAAACATGCATTTTTTGAGTATAAAAAAAAAAATTAATTATATTAGATTTCAAAATTTGCAGAAAAAAATGTCTGCCAAATTTTACCAAAAATCTATTGACATATTGTTATTATTTAACATATAAACTAAACACAGACAGAAAATTATAGCCAACTTTTTTTAATATCTGAATTTAAGAGAAACCTAATTTTCAGAATGTTCTATTAAAGTCCACTAACTTTTTAAATTAGAAAGCCTTCATATTGGGCCTATAATTTAAAATTCTTTAAACCAGCTTTGAAATTCGTAATGAGCTACCAAAAAAAAACTCCTAAATACTACCAAAAATCCCGCAGTAACAAGTTTCGAGCGAATTCAATAAAGTTTTAAAACTTTGTCCGCCATATTGGATCCGTCATTTTAAATTTTTGAAACTTTACTGAAAATTTGTAATTAATGGCACCATAAACTTGTAGATATGAAGAGGTGTACAAATACATTGACGCAAATGTGTTAAAATTAGTTTTGTCCGGCTAAATGCTCTATTCACGCCACTGTGCGGCGGCAGCGGCAAAATTAAAAAAAAATCTATTCCCCCCGAATTTCGTCAGCGAACTTCGTCGCTGCTTAAAAGCTCAGTTAGTCTAGACTTAATTTCCGTAACTTAACTTAACTCAATATTTTGGCCAACTTGTTATATGAGAAACTGTGTTGGCGGTTAGTTAAGACTTAACTTACCGTAAGAAACCTCAGAACTGTAGATTCTAGATTCTTAAGTTACGGCCTTACGGAAATTGAGAGCGGTGAGAGAATAAGGCTTGCCAGACTTTCGTTTTTGTAATTCTATTAAATAAATGACCGCAAACACATTTGTTTGCATGAATTTTTTTGATATGGCGGTTTTGGCGGCAAACTGCCAAAGAGCTGAAAAAGAAAACACAAAAACAAAATATTCCCGCTTCTGGCTTAAGTTGACGTGTTGAGTAATCATTGATGATTTCTTACGGTAAGTTAAATTAAGTCAAGTCTAGACTAACTGAGCTTTTAGTTGAATGCAATCTCATAAACTGCAGTGGGTTTTAATTTTGACAGCGAAATTTCTTCCGACGAAGTTCGCTGAACGATATGATTCCATTTATGTGCTGATATAGGACTTTTTTTGAATAGGAAGGTGAGATAGTGCGTTTTTGAAACGAATTCTGAAATAGCGCGTTCTTGAAAAGTTTTTTGAGATAGAGCGTTTTCAAACAGGATGCCGAGATAGATCGATCTTCCACTGAGCAGTCGATATAGGATTTGGGATAGTCCGGTTGCCAGACTTGGGAAGGAATATGACGGGTACCATCACCTAAGTACATATTTGCATGATATAGTATATTCTCTCGTATAACTATATACTATAACTAACAGAGCAGAGGATCGATGATGTCATCAATGCTTCTCTGTATTGATGTTAAAAAGTGCCATCACAACCTGAAGCTTGCAATGGTACAAATGACTCTATCGCCCATGATGCAGGGACAAAGGTCAAGCCAGACACGATATCCTTCCCCTATCTGCGGAATCTTTGTTCAGAGGACATGGGAATCACCCGAACTTCTTCCATTAAGAAACCTTGGAAATGTACCTGAAGTAGGCAGTTGGTGTTTGTAAATCACACCTTTAATTAATAGCACGAAAAGAAGAGTGACGTTATGAAGACTTTTAGCTCTGTCTAAGATAAGGTAGTAAGGTCATAATCGTGCAGCTCTAGACTAAATGAGGTTTTAGTCAAGCCGACGATTTTCCTTTAACTTTATGGTAGAATGTGTAGTACTGGCGCCATATTGGTTTGTAGTTGAACCAAATGAATATAGCAAAAGCACAATTCTGCGGATGGCTTTTATATTTGACTCAAAGCAAGGATGCGTGCCCATGATCACAATGGCAGGACCAAGTGCAGAAGGAGCTATCTACACTGGCTTGGGAGAAACTGCCGTAGCCCGAAAAATGATTGTAGTGCCAAATTAAAGAAGAAGAAAGTCTCACTTTTCGTTTGTTGTAAAGTAGTTGTGTGAGTAACATAAAATGGGTTTTTCTGCTGATACGAGCATGGGAATGTATATTTATTTGTAAAGCGATTTAATTGCTTTTATCCTTTAATTCTTGGACTATAGTATTCGAACAAAAGAAATTCAATATCCTCTTAATTGTGGTACATTTTAATTCAAAATCGTTTTGCAGAACAATATTCGCCAAAGTAAAGCTGGTCTGCCATTATGGCTCGGTTATGTTCAGCTTTCACGAAATGTAAGACTTAAAATAAATGTCAAATTAAAGCAACCATTTGAGCTGTATAAGCAAAAAAGCGTAACAGATCGTACCATGATACAAAAAAGAAGGTAGTTCCATTGTCACTTTTTCGTCGCCATATTAACCACCTGACAATTAAGCAGATTATGACATTCCGTGCTACCACCCATGATACAAAAAAATATTTTTTTATGTAAAACATTAAATAAAATAAATATTCTACATTAAAATTTGTTTGAATTCAAAAAAAAAAAATACATAAAAAGAAAAAATGAGCTGTTTATTTAATCAATGCCCGTATACAAGATATTTATGCAGAGGTACAAAGGTAAGGTTCTTCCAATTCCCCGTTATTCCGCACATTCGAGAGAAGTGGTTGCTGGCATGCGGTGTTAAGGAGTGTGACTTTGCAAAGAATGAAATGTCGTTAGCCAAGAAGACTGCACGATTAAGCCGAAGTGCAGTGCCAAAGTGTAAAAAGTAAGCATGATAATCGCAAATGTGACCAAATTTTGATGTTCATAATTTTCAGTAGTGAATCAGAAGAAACGGAAGAGAATTTGGAAAAATATCTCACGTATTTGGAGGGGTATGTGTGTTAAACTTTCTTATAAGCAACACAAAAAAAAACATGTTCCTTTGAATTTATTTAGAAGTGAAGAAAATCTGTTTGGACTTGAACCAACAGGGTCTTAGGTCGAAATGAAAACATGTTGTGCTCAGAAGCCAATATGGAGAAAACAAATGATGCTTTAGTAAGTTTTGAACCTAGAGGACTCACACTCACACTCACACATCATGTCTTCAAAGAAACAAACGATGTTCCCTTGTCACCAGCAGAACATATCGAGGTAGAAAATCGTCTACTTTTATTACTTTAAATATAGATTATATTGCAAACATCCGTATACATATCTGTTGTAGCTTCAAGAACAGGAAGAAGCCAATAATTTTTTGGATCGCATGACCGCGCTGAGTGATATTGAGTTCGATGGCCTGGAAAACTTTGGCGGCTACATAATTTCAAAAATGGGCTTGAGTCAATTTGGATGCGAACATCTGCTGAAAATAGTAAACATTTTACGTATGTTAATTTACTTTCGGAGGGGGGGCTTTATAAACCAAAACCGGAGTTTTTAAGTTTTTTGGAGCAGGCTAATGCAATTTTTATCAAAATTAATGGGGATCTATTAACCACAGACCTAAATTACATGCATAAGAATTTATTTAGGTAGGACATTTTTTCGGAATAGATATCTTAATAATAAAATAAAACAAAACAAAATTCGCAGAGTTAATAAGAAAATGAAAAAAATTTTCGCATAGCCAATCACTAAAGATTTAGTTTTAATCAATTTTAAAAATGTTTTTAATTCAAAACGCTACTATTTATATATCAAAATTTTAATATAAAATATATGGATATTAACAATGTTTTTCTTGAAAAAATACTTTGTCTAAAATAAATTACTTAAATAAAATTAAAAAACTTTGAAACTTATCTTAAAATATATAAAATGGATACATGCCAACAAAAGTATTTTATTTCTTAAACTTTTTTCTTTAGCTATATTATCAATGACTTTAGACAAAATATTTGAATTAATTTTTAAAACAAAGTATTTTCCTTACTAAGTTTTTGTGTTATATGCCTCTTCATTCAGCATTTATGAAATCCACCATTTTATAAATAATATCCAATATATGATTTGAAATTACCCTCTCCTACAAATTTCCGATGTAGCAACGCTATGCCAAATGTTGACATCAGGGAGAATGTCAATAATCTGTTTTTTAATCAAAAAAAATTTAAATGAAACTACCTTGTATTTTTGTATCATGGATCGTACGATAATTGGATGATCCCAAGGCACATTAAACAGGTAGTATCAGTAGAGCAAAAACAACATTTGCGTGTATTTTGTTGTTGCTTCTGGTATCGAAAGTGTCAACAACTGTTCTGAATTTTTTCTTCTAAATCAAAGCGTGCCATGTGAAATACAAAAAATTATAATAAATAAAAAATTGAAATTGGAAAAAATAAAAATTGATGCAACTTTCTTTCCTAGTAAATTTGTTTGCTTCTCGAAGCATTGATCCATCCTTTGCAAGGCCCAGTAATGAGCGGTCGTGCTGCCGAGTTGGGCGAACGTTCCAAAAGCTGCTATTCAATCGCTTGTTTTGTATGGAAAAAGGTTTCACAAGCAAATGGATTTTAACAACTTATAATTTCCGTGAGAAAAAATTAAAAATATTTGACATTTACGAGACCAAATAATTTGAAAATAAATCAAATCAGCTGCTCTACTGATACTACCTGTTCAATGTACCTTGGATGATCGCTTGAAAATATGGAATCTATTCCTTTATTAATTTACGCGCATGCGCAATAACAGCCACCGCATGTAGAGTACATGTGTGGCAATGCGAGATCCCATGCACAACTACACTCACTTGGCCGCGGTTAAATAGTGCTATGCGCGCAAAATATTGGACAAGAATGGTTAGTTAGTAGGTTGGATTGTTGGCTTTTTCATTTGGGTCGCTGGTGGCTGGTCGCTGGCTCTTAGCTGTTGGCTAGTGGCGGCTGGCAGGTTGGCCTGCTTGTTGTTGTTGCCTCGGCCTCGCTGGCATGTTGGCAATAAAATGCAAATTAAGCGCTAAAGATTACTCAAAGGCCACATTATTTACTTAGAACCTCCTGCTGTGCTTCCGAATTAAGTTTAAACCCGGAGGCTAAATTCAAAATGAGTTTTACTAATTTCTTGTTTCTTGCCTGTCTGTCCATCCGTTTGTCTGTTAGCCTGTCGGATGGCGGTCTATGTACATACATGCATATGTACTTGTATGTGTATGCGTCCAAGCGCTGGCGTGCGTAGCAAGTTGGCTTATTGCGTTGGTTGCTTTTGCTGCCTAGCATCTTGATGGACGTGTGTGCCATTATTTCGACTGCTCTACTCCACATAACTACATACATGAAAATATATTTGGGACAAGTTGCAGCAACACTTAATTTCCATATCCTGCCGCTGGCTGCATGCCACACATTATGGGTTCTCATAATTGTTTGTATGTATGTTTGTATGTGTGCAGATGCCACTCGCACCGCTTCCAATGCTATCCTGCACCTTTCGCCTTCCATGCTTTGTGCTATATCGTTGCGTTAATAGTTTGTTTTTAATCTTCCATAAATCGATTTTAAATGAGATTTTGGCGCTGAAGCTCGCTGAGATGTTGCAAATAAAAAAGGGGCAAACACGATTTGTGAAAATATCAAAAATCCAACCCAAATGCAAATGAATTTGGAGCACTGATATGGGGTTTGCACTTCTTAGTAGTTGGAAATTTATGAATTCACAGTGAGCACACGCAGTAGCGGACAAGCAAGGATGCGTAACCTGCAGAAGCAAATGCTGGCGGTTGGCGGGCACAGTGTTCGATTTCACGACAAAGAGCAAATCTATGTATATCCGACCAAATGCCTCATAGCAAAAATATTTTATTTTCGAATTATATTTTTTTGAATGAAAGCTTTTTTTTGTGCAAAAATGCAGATTACACACATTTTCACCTTTCCGGGATTTGCCGTACTCTTAGGTTTCTTTAAGTTCATCTAAGGTATACAACACCGCGTGTCAAAATTATAAGCGCACCGCAAACTGACAAGATTTAATATATTTTTATTTTTTATTGTAATTATTTTGATCACGATTTTTTAATTATATTTAGTTTATTATCTAACAAATACCGTTTAAATCTGAGGCGAAAACTTTGTGCAATATTAAAAAAAATAAAAATAAAACAAACTTTGGTAAAAAATGTCAGCCTGTTAATTTGATTTCGTAGAAAGATTTTGAGTAAGCTGCTCTGTATCCCATTAAAGTTTAGTATAAGAAAGCGCTGGATGGAGGTAGCTGGAACTTACCATTGATTTTAGGCAATCTTTTTTTTTTTGCTGGATATGTTCGACGATGCCATCCAGCTCCAGTTTCATTTTCAGTCTTTGAGCCATCGATATAGAAATGTTTTGCCGCGCTCCTCAAGAGAGTCCTTGGATCTCTTCACTGTTACCTTGTATGAAAGCTAACGACGTACTCTCTTCCAAAGGTGTCTCCTGGTATCAGTTGTCATTAGATGCCAAAACCAAAAGGTACTGCTCTGACAACCTTCTGAACAACTCTCTGTGCCTAGTACTCTGATCGTCGTGCCTCAATCCAAAAGAATGCGGTCAACACATCATTTTCATTGCCTCCTCTTGGACCGCTTAATCCATAGAAAGCAAATCCAACAAAGTATTAAGAGCCGACCCTAGCGTTGTACTAATGGCATTCGTAATGCCTATACACACACTGCTTTGTAGCCCGTTTAACATGGAAACCGTGGTTTTTACTATAATTATAGGCCACCATACCACAGCGGAATACGTGACCTTGGTATGACTGATGTCCTGAATTTATGTTAACAGAGGGCCCACGCTTAAATGCCACAAGTGTGGTGGAGTACCTCGCTCTGAGGTCATCCTCTCCTCACCTCTGCCATGGTACAAAGGCCAGCTTTATACCCTTCACAGTCAGAAATATTATTGAATGATTGACATATATCCTGCAAGTAGATCACATTACGTCAAAGTTTGCATTGTCAAACGCTCCCTCAATATAAACAAAGGCTACAATTGTATACTCACCTGTTTCCAGCCCCATATAGTGCTGATTCACAGCATAGTGCTTTGGTATGCTTGTTGGGGACCACTAAGGAGGCTGTTCACCAAAGCCCTTGATATTATGTATTTACTACTGAGACTGAGACTGATAGGCCTGAAGCTTTTTGCCAGCTCATAATCATCCTTCCTCAATTTGGTAATGAAGAATACCTTGAGTTTCCTCCAAATAATGGGAATGTGGCTAATTACCAGAGAGGCCCTAGAAACTCTTACTAGAACCCCTTTAAGCTTATCTCCCGCTCATTTTAGCTTGAAGCACTTTGTTGCTCATTCTACCTTTTTTGAGTGTCATACTTGACCCAGGAAAATGGGTATTTATGACTGTGTTTGACAACTCAACGCATGACGAAGTCAAGTTACCATTGGATTTTTGAATACACATTGGCGCCACTGAAACTTTCTAGAGCACCTTTTGCATATGATAGGCATCAGAATTTTATTTTAAGTATGTTTGTATATCATTGCATAATATTTTCTACGTATCATTTTGCACGTTTTTGATGGATTTTTTGAAATGATTAGAACGTTCTTGTAGGTTTGGAAACAGGGTCGCCATTTATTTTTTTGCCTTCCCGCCAGATTTATAAACAAAAATCGCTAGAATTTAGGTAGGTTATACCATTGCTTTGCTTTACTGGTGTGATTCTCTTTCCCCTTTTGGGAAGAATGCTTAGGCTGTATAAATCAAGTAGAGAAACATTTTTCAATCGAATTTTTCAGCAATCAAGTTGGGCTAAATGCCTGACGGTCGCGAAAAAGGCGTTTCAAATTTTTTTCTCATATAGTTTCCAATAATGCATTTTTTTTTTTTTGAAGCAATCTTCATTTTGCCGACTGAGTTGTTTCCTCTCTGTATGTATTTTAGATCTACATTTCCTTCAATATGATCAGCATTTCTGCTTGGTATACACTGCAGTGAAAAGGGAGCCGAAAATATGTATCTATCTAGTCGCTGGTCAGGTCACAAAACTCCGCTTCCGACTCATCTTTCAAGCTTAGAGCCAGTTCCATAAGGCATAAGGTCTGATGCACCGGTTTCACATATTTGTATTTCTGATCGAAATTAATTGTGGGTATATAATATATAGTCGGTACTGATATGTGTACTTGAAACCATCACGTGCAACTCTCTTGCAGTTAGATCAAGCGGCGGTATATGCAAGTCTGTGAATGTAAATGGCTCCGTTTTTACAAATTTCTGCTTTTCAGGCTTAAGTGCTCAGTTGTAGACTACTATGGCGCCATATAATATCAAAAAAACCGCACTAACAAATTACACGCACGATAACAATCAGAACACAAAAATTGTTGAACA